CATAACAAATTTGCCATTAAAACATTAATATCCTTAATAGAGAATTGAAGCAAGCCCAGCTGTTGTACTAAATTAAAATGTATTTCTTTTTTCAAAATGAAAAAAATTACAGACTTTCGTGTTTAAAGTTTTTTTTGTTATTGTAGGTTTTTTTGGGGCGCATCTCAGAGTGTGTGGATGACGTCACCGGCAGTCACTGAGATATATTATAAATTTATCATTGGTGAATGTACGTCAGTGTCCTAAGTCCTTGTCCCGTCGATTTCACAATAGAAGTGAAATATCCAGTGGTGCATATCATATGACTCTAAGAATTGAATTTACTGTTGAGTTCTGGAAATTAGGATTCTGATAATATGATTTTTTGTTGCGTGCAAGAGCGTCCGTGCTACCCTTAAAGGCCCGTTTACACCTTCGATTTTTGCAGAGCGACTCTCGCGGCGATCGTCGCGCGAACATTGCGGCCATTTTTTTGGAAATGTACGATTTTAGTTCCGCGATAGCAAAGTGGCGATACGATTATCGCGCTGCAAAAATCGAAAGTGTAAACGGGACTTAAAAATAACAACTTCAAGTTGGTTTTATTCCAAGTTATCCTGTGGATTTCAAATTAGCTTCAATCASAATTGAGTGGCAGCCAAGAAAAAAAAAACGATTAAGAATAAAATTGGCTTCACAAAAGCAAGAAAAACAACAGCTGTTAAAATKTGGAACACAAATACCTTGTAATATCTGATATCTAAGGGCAGTAGCTTTCCCCCAACGGCAACTCATTGGTAAACGTTGGATTRCTGATCAATGTCATGATGTTAGAGTGGTTTTCATTAACCCGTGAAACACACGTTAGCGCGTTAGCGTATTTATCGCTATTACACTTTGGCTCTTTTGCATGTGTTTTATTGTCTCTACGCGACTATTACGATCTATTACACTCTAATTATTACACTTTGTTTCACGGGTTTATGAAAACCACTCTAAGTGCCCGTCTCTTGCGATAATTCTTATTATAATTTTTTTTTAATCAATTTTCCTTGGATCTGGGATCAATTAGCGCTATCTTTAATCTAGTAGAATTTTGTCAAGTAAACTCATTTTACTACATTGTAAATAAAAAGGCAAAATATATTATAGTAGTTTCCCCTGCTCAGCATGTTCTCTTATTTACCACGGTTGACGCTATGCTAACACCAAAAATTGTTATATCTACTTGATTTGGAAGACACCGCATACTGTGCGAAATAAGAGGACACACTACAGGCAACAGAAAAGCAACTACTCTATGATAGATTTGCTCAGACAAGAAGAACAAATAGTCAGCCTTAAGTTTAACAGCGACTGGCATTGTTATTTTACTATATAAAGTTACGGTAACACAACTAAAAGAGAGGGAAAAAAAAGAATTCAAAGAAAACGCGCGAGCTTTCGCGAACACTTCAAACATTACCTCATCACTTTTTAATAACCCGAGCACAATGTCTAGGACTTCACCATGCGAAAACTCGGGCAAATAAAGTTTTTAAGCTGCTATAGTTATAATTATACGCACGTAGACATGATCAACTAAAATTAAATTTTCATAACAAGATGTCACTTACAATTGCTCACATCGTTGAAAGTCAACTAAGAAAATACATTTTTATGTATGATTAAAAGTATACAGGCTTATAGAATTAAGGTTTAATCTTACTTAAAAGACTCGGCTGAGAGAAATAATTTGTTTTGGGTTAAGTCTCAAAAACTTAAATTCTTTAGTGAAGAACGCTTGGTTGTATTATTCATTCATTTTCATTTATTTTTATTCCGTTTTGTATTGTTTTGTTTCGTTTTCAGTGTTTCGCTAGTTTGTTTTGAAATTTCGTTCTTATGTACATGATTTGTTCTAACCAGTGTACACTTTTAAAGGGCTTTTTCAATAACCTCGCCTTTGGTTTCTATTGTTTAATTAAATGTTATTTGACTGTTACATATTTACATGCTTTTTTTATCTTAAACACGGATTATAGCCCTTGTCCCAGAGGTTTCATTTTTTTACTCTCCTTCTTGCTTCTCAACGAGAAAAGGCAATACAAAAACAAGCGAAGAATGATCCAAGTTCTTCCAATTCCGTGTTTGGTATAAASTCGTGAAATAGATCTGAGAGCAGATCGAAACGTCTGAATAAAAAACTAAGCTAGAGACAACTAGATATTTGTTTTAATCGTGAAATAGATATTTACATCGTTTTAACTCTTTTTTGCAACTTTGCAAAATTGAATATTCATAAAAGAATATTATGGAAAAAGTTAATTTTTGCCTAGCTATATTTTCAAATACAAACAAATTTTAAAAACATCTCAAGACTCGCAAGGAATGCTGGTTGGCTATGGGCTTTTAAGCCATAATAGACCGCAATAAAATGTCGAAGACCTAAAATGTAAATTAATATCTGTACGCTATATCCTAAGCTTCATAAGATTGAATAAAGAAAACGTCTCTGTTTGACTTGAAATTAATAATTCAGTACGACTATAATTTATCAAAACTCGCCGGCAGTAACTATRATCGACTATAACCAGCTTTTTCAACTAATATGTTCTAGTAAAGACCCTTTCACGCTGGAGACACTTGGATTATTACCTGAAGCGAGAACTAATTGGAGAAAAAGAAAGAAAAGAAAAGAAAAAGAAAGAAGAAAAATTAATTATCGAAACTAGTTCAAAAGAATTTGACTCGGATTCTTATAATAGATTTTCGCTTATTCAGTTTTTGTCCGTAACACATTTAGTTTAAATTTTGAGGATGAATCACYGAAATAAAAATGCGGTCTTTCGTTCAAAATTTCCATTTACGCTTRCAAGTTAAAATATAGTGCGTTTGACAAGAATTATAATTCTTGAATTATTTAAACATTAAACAAAACTGTCCMTAATACTTACTAATATTCGCGGCTAAATAATTTGATAAAGATGCGTATGCAGTATGAAAAATTCTTCGCAAAACGAGATAAATAAATAATTGAATAACTAACCCGGTTAATTCTAGATAGTTTTGACCTTCTTCACAGACAGCAAGCTACAGCAGTAAGTATTCCCACATAGTTCGACAATCATGAATTCATATCCGGCGCCAGATATGCCACTAGTTCCCTCTCAAAACAATCTTGGAAKACTTGACTTGAAAATATCCTTTCTTCTTGTGGGGAGAACGTTTTCTCAAACCCTAAAATGTCTCAAATAAAACACCGAGATGTTTCAAAACGCAGTCATGTTTCGGTGCAATTACAAACTGAGAGTCTGCCAGGGGTCTTTCTTCAAATAGGACTAATTATTATATGGAGTTTAATTTATTCATGTCCCACTGAAACAGTTTTACTGACAATTGGCTTCAAAGTGAATCGTCGATGAGACCAATCTGTTCTCATGCTGTTTAGTGTGGGTTTCGATGCAATGCCAACATGATTATTACATCTATAAACTTGGATTTTTACTGAATGTCACTTATTAGACTGATATTATTATGGAGAACGTACGAGGCTTCATTAGCTTTCATTCCTTGAAATAAAATTGGTAATTTCTTGTTGTCAAAAGCCCCGTCACCCTCCGGGTAATGTCGACATCTAGGGATAGTTAAGTCAGGCCTACATTTCGGGAAACGTCAACAYTGGCAGTGTGATGCAGCGACAATCATGGTGGATGTTTCTCGAAAAAATTCGGGAAAAAAGTGTTCCCATGACCATGAATTACAGCGAAAAATATTCGCTGGTTGGATTTGTTTTTTTCTTCTGCAACTTAATAGAAAAACCCTTTAATTACTATAATATTTTAATTCAGATATATTAAATACAAATCTCTTGTAATGATGAAATTTTGTATTCAAAAGCCCAAATGAAGTTGATTGATCGGCTGAAACTTTGCCATGCAAAAGTCGCATGAAAAAAAAAAAAAAAACTTCGGAAACTTCATGGTTTTCCGCAGGCTAGGGCGCTGTGATAAACCTATCAGATCATTAATATGCTTTTTTTTCTTGTTTCATGATTATTATATTGTTCATTTTTACTTGGCTTCGTTGTGTTGCTTCCATGGACGAGCGATTTTTGAGAATTTAAGAATGCTTATAAACTATCCTGGCTCCCATTGCAATATCGCCGATAATTCGTGTCGTATCGGTCACCTCTTCGCATAAAAATAGCCAGTGTAAAAACCATACATATTTGTTGCTCAGTCATACATGTATGCATAAAAGCCCGATGCGACTTTATGGAGCTATCGTCTTCATTATATATATAATATCTATAGAGAGCCAAGTTCTCACACACGGACAAGTTGTCCGGTCACAACTTTCTAGGACAGAGCCAAACTCTCAAAGGACCGTCCGAAATGTCCTAGTAGCAGCTGGTAATATAGAAATACCCTATGACGAAATAGCGAAGACATCGAGCCTTTACTTTCAAAGACCTTCAAAGCGCTAAATAATTTATTTTTAAAGTACTGCAGCACTTTAGAATCAATTGAAAAATCAATTTGGTAGCATGTAAGCAAACACAAAAGTTTTTCGTAGTATATTACGAACTTAGACGAATGTGCGTTTGAAAGTCACGGATACCTCTAGCTTTGAGTGATCTGATTTGTCGAGTTCTTTGTACACCAAGAACGACTTATTTAAAATTATCAATAACTTTAATTMATATTACCTTCATAATGTGTCTAATCGTCATTATTCCATGGTTGTACCTTTAAAACACGCTTATGCTTTCAAAGCACAGTAGACAATCATGTATGCAATATCTTCTTCCACAACTACAGACAAATATTGGTTACTGCGTGTTCAACCGTGTGCTCAAAATAGTTCCTTTAAGCCCACATTACATCACGGTTCATTGTTTTTTGTGCAATGGCCATTGTTTTATGAAACAATAGAAGATTTCGTCTTTGTATGTAATTCATGACTGTAGTTAAATCATGTGCATCAGACTCGAAATCTTCGAATTGACTCGAACTCGATAAATGTACTCGTACTCCTTCTAATCATTGACATTTGTATTTATTTATGTTTTGTATTTTATTACAAAATTCTAAAATAACTATAACCTTTYTAATCTTTCTAAGCCCATTCTCTCCTTCCCACCAAGAAACAGTTATCAAATAACGTCAAAACTATTTGCTTCTTTCAATTGCTGTTTTTAAATCATTCCCACGTTTGAGATTCAAACAAAGAAAGACCGTTGGAAATGTTGAAGGAATGAACAATAGATACTACTAAGGAATGCTTTGTTGACGTACCTCCAAGATGCACGCTGTGACGTAGCCTGAAAACCAACAATGCTAACGTAACTATCTTGGAATTTTTTTATACTCKCCAGCAATGACGYAAAATGCATATATRTGACGTAAAATATGACGTCATGTATGACGTAAARTACGAAGCCAACTACGGTGTAGCATACGACGTCATACATGATGTAAAATACGACGCCAAGTACGACATAGGATACGACGTTGTATATATGACCTAAAATACGACGTCATGTACGACGTAAACTACGATGTTACTTATGACGTAAAATATGACGTAACCACTTAGTCATGCTGATGTCACCATTGCAATTTCAAATCAAAGKTTTAGTTCGTTTAGTTCATTATATTCAAGGCAGAGAGTCCAGGAAACAGGTCCAAAGACAAGCGAGCAACAAACGATGGCCCGTCTCTCAGTGAGTGCAGTGGGTTGGCTATAAATGAATACACCTCGGTGATACGGCCTGATACTAGATGATATAGCTTGTTTGTACGGAGATTTTCTATCGACGTCAGAGCGAGTTCTGCTTCGTTTGTTGAGGAAATTACACGACCGCTTTCATTACGTCGTTTGCTCTGAAAGAAAAKATTGGAATTTTTGAGGCTGGAAGAAGGAGGACAAGAATCACGTGTAAAGCAAGTAGTTAAGCAAAAAATTAACAAACAAATAAAAGTGGAGATATGGAGCATTGAATGAAACGGACGAATGAATGGATGAATAAGAGGGGGAGAAAGAGACTGGGAGGAGGTGTGGAGAGCCTTTCCTTTCCCATTTTGAGAGAAAAGAGAAAAATGAGATGGTTGAGAAACATCATAGAAAACCACACTTACACGACTTGGTTCACGGACGTAGCCTGATGCTTTCGGCTCCAGTCTCAACAGCATGTTCGAGGGAAGCTGGGCCAGAATGAACGCCTCAAGGACGCGAGCTAAAAATCTGAAGCTAAAAATCGATAATGAAGTATGAGCACATTGTTTAGGTGTGTGCGGTAGGTCCTGATATGTTGGTATATGGGAGAGGTTAAGGAGGGTGGGTTAGGTCGGGGATGAGGACGTTGGTAGGATTGACATCGAGGAAATCATTGGGAAAAATCATACATACTTGACAGAGAATATTGATTTCTTGCCAAAACCAATGGCGCCCAAGAGTCCTGATGAATCTTTATCTTCTCCCAACTGATGTAAGTTGCTTGCTAAGAAAGACAGTTGCTTGGCAACATCATGGAGAGGCGCRCTTGAAAAGTCAGCTTGTCGTAGAGACAGCTGTAGAATCTTGTGCCAAAATAACGTTACTTTGTATTCGTTGTCCTTTCTGGAATTCATCAACAAAAAGGAATGTTTTACTTTAAAAACTTCAAGGTGACATGTTTTTACACAATTTTGGCAAAAAAGACTGGAMCTCTACGGCAAATTCACCACGATTTACGTAATTTTAAGCGTTTTGAGAGCGTTTTCTGATAAAAATATACTTACGAGATTTTAAAGCGAGCACTCCAACTGACGAGATCAGATAATACTGTCATCTCTTGGTTGGAACTCTGACACTGTGACAGCCTTAGTAGTACATAGGCGTACAGCGTTAAGGTAGCTGATTGGTTGATACACTCTATAAAGATCATAGTAGATTACTCATCATGTCAACTCTCTCCTATCCTACCACACCTAATGCATTCCTAGCTTTCATCCATCTTATCCTATTTTTCCTATCACRCCCTGTTCCTCCACTGAACTCCATTTAAAATATCTCCCTCTCCTGTCCCATCTTTCATATCAAATTYAGTTMTCCWTTATAATYATTTTTCTCTTTCMCATATCTCATTCATTYTCTCATTTTTTATTCCATCTCTCCTATCTCATTCCTCATCTCCTGTCCAATTCTATCCCTCTCATTACAACATACAACAATAACATACCATCTATAAACGAATCTTGTGCAAGTTCAGGAATCGAAAACCCAGGAATAACTTGRCTCCAGCCCCAATCTGAGCCTCTCCCGGCCACGTCCACTTGCGGGGAATGCCTGGCGAAAACCTCCTCGATCCCAGTCTCCAGCAACGACACCATGTATCCGATGTTTGCGAGAGACCGACAARAGGCTGGTATTGAGGCTAGGATRAGTATCAGTGATTTGGTAGATTTGATGTATTCTAGGATGTAGTTTAGCACTGTTTTTGGTACGTTGTTTACGGGTGAACAGTTGTTCAGCAAGTTGAGAGTCTCACAAAGCAGTTGGCATACTTCAGTGGAGGTCGTCTCATGATCAACGCCTACGTAAAGAAAACTATCATTTAAGCTCTTTCCAYACAAATATTCTTTTAAATGATATCAACATTAACGCTAATTTTTTTTGATCGTTCACATGTTTTGTTTCAAACGCAAGAGTTCAACGTTGACAAAAATAGCCATTGCCGATTCGTGTATGCGGAAACTCCCGGGGGGACGGAAACTCCATTAATCCAAAAGAATASCCATTGAAGGAGCGTCCCGTCGAYACGAAACGCCTACCAAACGTTACAAAATTAACCATTTACGTCATTTCCTGTTTACACAGCGGCCGAGACCTTGTAGTTGATAACAACAATATGAGAATTTTCTGGACTTTGCAAATGCTAAAACCACGAACAACTTTAGTAATTAAATAGTGCTAAATTGTACTGAGATATGCGAATTCCTTTGTTTTTTAGAGTGCCTTCAGTAAAAGCGTGAAACATTTATCACTAAGGTAGAAGTAAAAGAAAAGAATTAGCATAAAATAGCACAAAATACGCTAATACTTCACGCTTTTCGAGTGATCGCACTTTTAAAAACCGTGCAACTGTACAAAATCTAGGTAGTATTAATTAATTAATTTTACTAAAAGTGGACCTGAAGCAAGACGGCATTGAATGCTTCATTTGTATCAATTCAATTTAATTTGCGTACCGCATGCACGAATTACTAAATAGAACTATTTATAGGGCGCTTTCCATTTGTAAGAACTGGCTGGCCAGACCCAGAGAAAATGTCATTATGTATCATTCCTATTTAGTTGGGAAATTCAAATTTTCAAATTCTATCCATTATTCTATAGAAAACCTCGAAATGACTGAAAAATGTTGACGAAAAGCATAATATACCTCTAGATAGAGCGGACTGGCCGGCCAGTTCTGCCTAAATGGAAAGCACCCTTACTTTGTACAGTTGCATGGTTTAAGTGCGATCTAGTCACTCTATTAAAATCGTGCAAGCGGTACGCGAATTAAATTGAACCGATTCAAAATGAAGCATTCAATACCGTCTTGTTTCAGTTCCACTTTTAGTAAAAATTAGTACTATTTAGATTTTGAACAGTGGCACGGTTTAAGTGCGATCACTCTACTAAATCCACTCTATCGTCTTATTTACACTATATTTCGCTATTTTGACCTATTTGGTTAGTACTTTTTCTTTCTTTAAATATTTTCACTCAATGTAGAATATAATACTGGTTGTAAAGCACGAATATGGTAATCACGATCAACGATAATGTTGAATGATGATGAATTAGAAAAAAATAAACCATACCTGCGCCCGCGATACTTTCTATGTCTCTTAAAATAAACTCGACCACGGCAGGATAAAGGCCTGGATCTAGGCTCTCAGTGGATGAGCACTTCACTAATAAGCTTGCGATGCACCGCACGTAGCAAATTCGTTTGGGAAGAGACGCCTGGAGAAACAAGAAATCTAATAAACGTCGCTTTAAAAATATGAATCAAAATTTGTCAAGGTAACGATGGGGCCTTATCTTATATCAAATGTATAAAAAGCATTTAAATTTTGAAACTCGCTTCCGCTCTTGGGCTCACTGCAAAGTTTCAAACGTTCTTTTATGTCAGAAATGCGTCAATTAGAGGAGAAAAAAAGGTGTGCTTTTATCACATTTTAGTTTGTGTTAACTGAAAGCAAATTTGATTTGGGTTAATTGAAAAAAAAAACATGATGAAAAGTCATCATTCYCTTGGGTTCTTTTCAGCTGAGAGACACAGGAGACATGATAGCTACAGCACAGTTTGATTGTCCTCTTATTGACACTACAACCAGCCAATCAAGACATGTTTTGCAACTCGTATCCTGGATTATCCAGGGTTGATGATATGCTTTACTGATAAACTAACCAATGCCATTGGTTTCAGTGAGCCTGATGGTGTTGTGGTGATTCCTGATGCGGTCCTAATCAACCTAAAAAGCAATCATTGCANTCGTCGTCATCATCATCATCATCGCCGTCATCATCATCATCATCATCATCATCATCGTCATCCTCCTCCTCATCATCATCATCATCATACACCCCTGATGGAGACTTTGTCATAGCCTACTTCACAGGTATCATTAGTGCCACGGGCTTCCTGTGCTTTGAGTCTCTCTCGTCATTAGCCTCCAACGGTCAAGAAGCTTCCTGGGGAGGAGCCCAATTTTGGCACAATGTTTCTTTATTTCAAATCAAGTCTTTTTAATTCAAATTGAGAAATAAAGACTCCTGACTTTTTCACCTTAAGTGGATACCACCAAGTATTTATACAACTTAAACAATGATTTTTCAAAGAATCTAAAAGATCGCAGCACTGTACCCAGGAAAACTATTGATATAACATACCTTACTACATGCCATAGCGATGAGTTTGGCTCAAGAATAAGCTCCGCTTTACAGTGTTCCACTTGCCATGAAATGATCTCGTCGAACGACCTGCACAGACAAAGTAGGCATTAGCAGACGGATTCTATAAGTCGGTTCCAGTTCACTCTCGGATTTTTTTTATAAGCAATAAACTCACCTTGATTCAATGTGCTGCCAAGGGTAGTAATGAGCTTTTTCCAAAAAACTTGGCATTTCCGAGCCCTACGAAAAGAATGAAAATTTATCAAACGTGCCTTTTGACCAAGTGATTTCATACTTTTTCATAGAGGGACTGAGGTGTTAGCTGACGGAGTAGGACTAGAACCTTTCCTTTCTAATGTCAAAATAAATATCGCAGGCGCGCGAATGAACAAGAGGGCATTGTGTACGAGATTGGGACAGTGTTTCTGCTTATGTTTTTGAGAGCGTCAGCGATGTTTTTGACGCGCGTCTTGAAAACCCCGGAATCCCATAAAGGTAGTTAACCACCAAAGATAAGATAAATAGGATATATCAGAAAATGAATGTACTGTACCTGAGATTCCATGATTGTTTTATCATTAGTTAACATCAACAGTAGATGAAACAGAGACGTCATTAGTCGAGATACTACACTGGATGGATGACCATCGCTAAGAAATTCAAGGAAAAAAAATCAATATGCAGTGATTCTCATAAAAATACTGTTGAAAGAAGAAAAGATAACAGGAAGTGCTACATCGATAAGCACGCGAGGACAGCCGTTTTTACTTCTTTCTAAAAATTCACCATGAAACATGCGTGCTTCAAGTGTTCAAAGTATTTGCTTTATTCTCGAGCGATGAAGTATTCAAATGTAACATTCGTGGCTATTACTTTCTTACCTATATGTAACGATAACTCGTTCCCAGTCGATTTGAGGAAACACAATACCAAGGAACTGGAAACTAGTCTTGCAATCACGTTCAAGCTACAAATAAGTATAGTGAATCACTTAGATTATTTCTTACAATGTTGCATTGTTTACGATAATCAGATTGAGTTCAATAAGATGAATGTTATACCACAGATTCATAATTCAAGCCATTAGCACTCATACTTTGCGGTTTTGAGTATAGAAAACTAGCAGATTGTTCAGATATTTATAGGATTACTGTCATCACCCTCTTCCCTTAGCGTTACCTATCACACTCCCCAAGTTAAGTCACTTAGTTGACAACAAGTGCCTCGAGATATCTTTTCTAGAATCCCTTCYACCCTTATGACCTCCCGACCTCCCCTCCCCCCACAGTAGTTTGTAAAAGTGATTTGTTCCCTTATCCCCTCCCCTCCCCCCAACAGCAATTAGTGTACTAGTCTACAGTCAATGCGTACGTTAAGCTTTGTAGAAGATCCTTCGACTGCGCATGTGTCTGCTGTCTGAAAGAGCTGTTGCAAAGATTCAGAAAGAGAAGATTGATTATAGTTAATGTGGAATATAAACTATAGCAAATTAAATGACTGCATAGCATAMTAATGGAAGGAAATTCATGGAAAGTTAAGAAAAGAGTGTTAGAAATAAAGACAATGAGAATCCTTTTCGTAAAGTTTGTGCTAAAAGTGAAAACAGTTTTGAGTTTTTTTCCTTTTTTTCATTATAACTTGACTTCCCTTTTTTCAAACCTCTTTTCTCCTCTCTTTCTTTAACGTTTGGTTGCTGAATAACTTCTCCCTCCTTTATCTTTTCCTACCCATTTCATTTTTTTCATTTTGAATTCTCTTTTCTTCATTTCTCATCTCTTCTTCATTGTCCACTATTTTTCTCACCTCTTCTCTGTTCTGCTTTCTTTTCTCATTTGTTTACTCATCACTTCACTTTTCTCGTAACTTCTTCTCTTACCATCGAGTATCATTCTTCTGTTCTTTTCCCTTCTCTTCCCATATCTCCCTCTCTTCTCTCTCCTTCTTTCTTTCCTTTCCATTTTTCACGTTTTCATGTTAACTATACAATCTTTACCGACTACCATGACCTACCTTAAGCATGAGATCGATGTTGTCTAAAGTTGGGTAAAACTTGTTCCATGGAAGATTGAAGAATTTGGAGTGATATACTCGACGAACGTAATCCGGGATACCAGGTTTGACCAATGACGTCACGAAGAACGGCCAAAACAGGTTCATTAGGCTTGTACCACTTTGGGATACTAATAAAATCATTTTCAGAGTATCATACTGTATCAATCAATCGGCCAGTCAATCCATCAATCAATCAATCACCCAGTCAGTCAATCAATCAGCACAACAATCCATCAATCAATCAATTGATCAATCAATGAATCCATCAATCCATCAATCAATCAATGAATCCATCCATCAATCAATCAATCAATGAATCCATCCATCAATCAGTCAATCCATCAATCAGTCAATCTACCGAGTAATCATGCAATTCAATCACTATCAATCAATCATTCCTTCCATCAATCAATCGGTCCATCTATTTAAAGTAAAAAAAAGTCTTTCATTTTTAGAGGGTAGCACGTAATAGTCTCTAGACTAATAAACTTGTGGCCCTCTATATATTCACTCATACTCACTTCCTCAACATTCATTATTTTACTACACGACACTCCTCACAGCTAGTTTTTGACTGAGGGAGGAAAACCAGCGGACCTGGAGAAAAACCCTCGGAGCAAGAAAGAGAACCAGTAAAATCAATCCATTAAACAATCAATCGATCATTCACTAATCAATCAATCAATCATTTTTATCACTGCCCTATTTATCATTCAACAAAGCGTTCTTACTTGGGAAATACAAATGAAGACAAGAAACAGTATCGGTAAATAGTGCAACCATGTCAGAAGCTTGAGGGACTTCGGTCTCGTTCCACGGAGCTACCGGGGGATTGCTATTTGAAGAACAAAAAACACATTAGTAAAACTTGATGGTGGACACGAAATCCCATTGTCCATCCCTTTTCTTTCCCTTTTTCATAAATGTTTACTCCTCTTTCCATTCTTTYATTCATTTATTCATTATTCACTCAACCATTTCGTCTTTCCTTCTTATCTCTTTCTTTCTTGAATTCACAATTCATTTTCCCCTTCATTTATTTAGTATTTCACCAGCCATTGATCATAATTCATTGGTTTGTTTGTTATCCGTTTATTCCCTGTATAAACTGAAGAGGACAAAACAATACTGACATACCCCTCCACAGGACTATCTTGCGCACATATCCACGGCTCAAACGTCTTACAAATCAGTCCCCATAACTTGGTCAACCCTAAAATATAATACCAGTTTTTATGTTTWGACGACAACAAAGTWAAAGTACTACGWTATTGCGGGCACCTTTTTACGACCGTTCGGTGTTCGTATTACACAGGTTCTACAATAGTCATTTTACCTTCTATCGTGTCATTTGACTGTTTGGCTGTACGAACGACGACTTGCTGGCACATGAATCCAAGYAATAACGATATCTGTTTGATATATGGACGCCACATGGTATATAGACCACCAGTCACGTGACCACCTAACTCGGCACGCTCACTTGAGAAGTACGTGGTCAACCAATCAAGAGTCTCCAACACCTTGAGAACAAAATTGATATTATCATTATGGAGATGTAATATTATTATCAAAGAATCATCAAAATGAAGATAAAGGTTGAAAATATAAAGAACTAGACATGACTATAGATACAAAGCCACTCAATTTGTCTCGGAACAGTTCTGAGTTTAGGTTTCTCGTTTTAGTAGTACATCATGTTTAAGCACTGGCAACAAAACATGTCATGAAAAACGAGTAACATTGAATATAAACTCCAACAGCAACAATGTTGAGTTTTTCTATTTCTCGGTCCTAAGCCAGAGACTTTGAAAAATATTTTGTAGAAAGTTTTCACGTTTGAAACATGAAAAACTTTCCAAATACCTGTTGATCAGCCATGACAGTCGCAAGGGTTGGCGATTTCGGTGCATCGTTTTGATCAGGGATAACACAGCCAATACAGAACAAAAATCTCTTCCATACATCAATGGATAGGTCACGGCTACTAGAACCTACAAACATACATGAATTTGATTGGTTAAAATCAAGGAAAGAGAGCTGGAAAGAGGTTGACAGGAACGAACGGAACGAATGACCGACCAAACGAACGGACAGAGAGATTAACGGACACACGGACGGACGTCCGACCGACATACCGACCGAACGGAACAACAGACGGACGGAAGAACGAATGAATGGATTAAAGAATGACTGACTTGATACATAAATTAATAAATAAATTGATTAATTAATGCATGAATGATAAAGTAAAGAAATCAAAGAATCAACGTGATTAGCAATCAAATTATTATTGCTAATCACGTTGATTCTTTGATTTCTTTACTTTATTTTACTTTATCATTCATGCATTAATTAATCAATTTATTTATTAATTTATGTATCAAGTTCTATATATAGAACTATATATAGAACTAAATAATCCAACCTTCAAATAGAAGTCGCAATGTATCGCTATACTGTTCAGGAAAATTGAACATCAAAACCAGCGACATATGACGTAGGTAAACCTAGAAATTTATAATAAAAGTCGATGAATTAAAAGAAAAAGAATAAATAAATCAAAGAATTAATAATAAAATGGATGGATGAACTGTCGACAAAACGAATGAATGAATGAATGAATGTCTAGAGATAAAATAACTAACCAGTAGGTTAACCTTTTAGCCCATACGAGCAAACTGAATATCTCACTGAATATCTCATGTAAACTGAGACGTTCAAATTGAGACATATAAGACCCTAAGAAAAGTGTATCCTTTCTAATCGAGACGAATTTCCACATGCAAATGGTCCCGCGCGCACAATGAGTCACGCGTCCAAGAGACTATGCTAATATGTAACGAACAAACGATTGCCTTATGGTGTCTGGATACTATACCTCATTGATAGCTTTGTCTTGGGCCTCAACATCAAGTCCGAGTTTTTTTAACGCTGTGAACACTTCGAGAGTCAACCCTGATCGCTCGATTAGTGAGCTACTGGATGATGATAACCACTTCTCGAGATCAAACTACGATAACACAACATATGTAATGTAGTATGACAAGTAATTTGTCACGCAACTCAAATTGATTTGTCACACAACTTCACGTGACTTGTCACACAACTCTCACAACAACTCAAAGTGATTTGTCACACAACTTTCGATGACTTGTCACACAACACTGTCAGACTTGTCACACAACTCTCACANTTCTGAGTTTAGGTTTCTCGTTTTAGTAGTACATCATGTTTAAGCACTGGCAACAAAACATGTCATGAAAAACGAGTAACATTGAATATAAACTCCAACAGCAACAATGTTGAGTTTTTCTATTTCTCGGTCCTAAGCCAGAGACTTTGAAAAATATTTTGTAGAAAGTTTTTACGTTTGAAACAACAAAAACTTTCCAAATACCTGTTGATCAGCCATGACAGTCGCAAGGGTTGGTGATTTCGGTGCATCGTTTTGATCAGGGATAACACAGCCAATACAGAACAAAAATCTCTTCCATACATCAATGGATAGATCACGGCTACTAGAACCTACAAACATATATGAATTTGATTGGTTAAAATCAGGGAAATAGGTTGACAGAAACGAAAAGAACGAATGACCGACCGAACAAATGGACGAACAAACAAATGGATTAAAGAATGACGGACTTGATACATAAATTAATACATAAATTGAATAATTTATGCATGAATGATAGAGTAAACGTAAAGGAATGAAAGAATAAACGTGATTACCAATGATCAAATTATAAAACTAAATAATTCAACCTTCAAATAGAAGTCGCAATGTATCGCTRTACTGTTCAGGAAAATTGAACATCAAAACCAACGACATATGACGTAGGTAAACCTAGAAATTGATAATAAGGACTAATATTATAAATATAATAAAAATTCTATAATAAAGTAATAGAAAATACAAACAAATCTATGAATTTATAAGAAAATGGTGGGATAACTGTGAAAATGAATCTGAATGAATGCATATAAATCAACAAATACAAATACATAGGCTAAACCCTGTCTAGGGATAATGGAAAAACAATCGGAAAACGTGTCTCGTCTTCAAGGCTTATCGTCTTAGTTAACGTACTTAAAGTAGTATAACCAGTAGGGTTACCTTTTAGCCTTTTAGTACATTGAATATCTCATGTTAACTGCGACGTTAAAATTAAGACGAGACGGATTTCCCCATGTAAATGAGCCCCCGCGCGCAATGTTTTGGACGAGTCAGGTGTCCAAGAGACTATGCTAATATGTAACGATCAAATGATTGCCTTATGGTGTCTGGATACTATACCTCATTGATAGCTTTGTCTTGGGCCTCAACGTCAAGTCCGAGTTTTTTTAACGCTGTGAACACTTCGAGAGTCAACCCTGATCGATCGATTAGTGAGCTACTGGATGATGATAACCACTTCTCGAGATCAAACTACGATAACACAACATATCTATTTAGTATGGTAAGTAATTTGTCACGCAACTCAAAGTGATTTGTCACACAACTTCACGTGACTTGTCACACATCTCTCACAACAACTCAAAGTGATTTGTCACACAACTTTCGATGACTTGTCACACAACACTGTCAGACTTGTCACACAACTCTCACAACAACTCAAAGTGGTTGTCAAACAACTTTCCATGACTTGTCACACAACACTGCCGGACTTGTCACACAACTCTACGTGACTTGTCACACAGCTCTATGACTTATTACTCAATGTGGTCCCTACCTTAGTAAGAAGGGAAAAGGCCAAGTCTTTATCAGGGATTTGCACGACTTCATGGTACATAGCTGCGAATCGTGATGGGTTGTCATTGGGGGAGAAGAATGGAACAAGAAGCATTGTAATAGAAGTGTGCTCTAGTATAGTGAATAACAATTGTTCTGTTTGGGAGCCATTGCTGAGAATAAACTCCTGAAAAAGATAAAAAATACACAAGTAAATATGTCATGTTATTCACTACACGATTTTATCAGTTTTCCTTTATCCGTAGTTAATATTCAGAAAAAAAACCCTGTTATACAGTTAAGTGACAATTGGTCGTTTTTGCTAGTTCCGTGCGTGCTGCATATGGTATTTTACGTATCGTAGGTATAGATACGTATGCGTGTACGTAATAGTTACGTACAAATAAAAAGATTTACCAAAAAACAAAACAAGAATACAAACTATGCAGGCAATTTGCTATATGAATAAGATTAAGAAATTCAATTTCTTAGCATAATTTTATTAGTTTATTATTGCGAAAGTGCGAAAGTTATTAAGCAAATTAAACAACGGAGCATTACTACGCAATAGCGTCATCCAACTACGAAGACACCGTAACGTACAAGAATACTACAGGTGGAATTTACTCAGAATACTAGAAAATACATGCAGAAAARTACTGCAAAATGCAAGTGAAAGAAATAGTCATCTATTCGACTAAAACAAGTCATTAAAGACAAATGTGATATAAGAAGCAGTTGTGATACTATTTGCTTTGTTGCTTTGTGTTGTTGTTTTTTTAATTAAACGTGCAGCATTTCCATGAAGCTACAAGACGACATACAAACTAGTTCCAAGGAAAACTAGTGTATTATTTGTTCACAATTTAGCAATCATCATGCTCTTGACTTATACAATTTTTTTAAAATTGCGTAGTACGATGTTTTTGCACTATATATGACGAACCTATTGTGAAATATAAACGCCATTTATATTACAATTATAATTATAACAAAATGCAGACCTAGAAGAGAAGCATTTGGTACCTGTAATGTCACCTGTTATCCTGACAGCTTATATTCACGGTAAATGGATTTCACATTTTTCTAAATATTGTTTTTACGTATGAATTCACAACTAGTTTCTCTTGATAGCAAATTCATTTTTGTMTGCGTTYATTCGGCTCATTTACAGGATGAATAGAAAGGCAAATAAGAAGCAGGTAGCTCAATGGTTTTGGCCAATAAGAATCGTTGTACTTGAATACTTAAGATAGCGCCATTTGTAATGTGATTTACTGTCTGTCTGTCCGCTCTGGACAACAAGTGTTGCGCTGTTGTATTTATTTGAGAACTTAAGCATCAACAATTTTTGAGGAGCCGACGTCAATCGGAAGTGAAATTTTACTTCCGGTTTGCGCCAAACTTTTGGCGCGCATCGAAGTGCGTACGCGCTGACGTGAGAATGGCAGATTTCACGTCTGCAYGTTCGCACTTCAAAGCGCGCCAAAATTTATTGTTGTTTTATGACGATAATKATGCTATTATTGTTGTTATTAACTTTGCTCAGTTTTTGCCGTTGTTGATGTTGGTTATAATGACGTAGTTGTTATTTACCGTCGCTGTTGTTGTTGTTGATGATAATGATGATGACGTTGTTTGTCGTTTTCGTTGTTGTTGTTGATAATGACGTTGTTGTTTGCAGTTGTTTATGTTTGTCGTTTCTGTTGTTGTTGTTGATGTTGTTGATGATGATGATGTTGATGTTGATGACGCTGATGTTTATGATGATAATGACGTTGATGATGATGATATTGATGTTGATGATGTTGATGATGATATTGATGATAATGATGATGATGATGTCACTAATACTATCGTCTTTCGTCATACCTTGCCTAAAATTTCCACACAAGACGAGAAGAACTGAATGGTGGGCTGAAAACGGATAACAGTCTCATCCATGAGACCAGCCATTTGATAGAAAAGACTGGTACCAATATCCATCAGTAATTCTATCAAAACAATAACAACTATAAACACTGAGACCTCGGTGTTCATAGACTTGCAAACCACTTGTCTTACCTCTAACGTTACGTTCTTGAGATAACTGCGCCTTTTTCACCAGTAAACTGAGAAAGGAAAAAATATTATAAACAATAGTATTCCAATTTCATTTTTTTACGTAATGATCTCTTCAACGGAATCAACACAGGAACTAGTCTCTCCCGTAGGCGATTTTAGTCGAGCTCCATTTCCATATTTTTGACGCAAATGTTTGCAACAGTAGTTAAATGGTGTGTGACTTAAAATGACTGCGGAACACACTTTCATTACATAACACCAATATTTACGTAAGGCTCATTTCGTCTTACGCAGCAACTCAACACCCTTCCATTACTAAGCTCTAATGCCTACGTAATGATCTACGTACACAGCAGCACAAGACATTTCCATTGCTAAACAATACTTACGTAATGATCATTTCTACGTACGCAGCAGC